ATAAAAGGCAATGAACTTAAAGATAGATCAATGGAAATTAACAGAATAAGGAAAAATTTTTGAAAGAGAAATGAATCTCAAGGCCTGTTAATAATAGCATCTTTAGTATTATCTCAGAAGGAGAGGAGAGTCTAAGTTAATAATGACTGGAAAATCCCCAAATTTACTAATGGCCTAACTTTACTGATTCATGATACAGGAAAACAACTCAAGCAGGAAAATGTTGACAGTCATGCTTATACAAATCATAGTCAAACTCATGAAAGCAAAAATTACAGAGCAAGTCTTGAAAGCAGAAAGAGAAAAATTAAGCATTCCAGACAGGGGAACAATGATTTGGTTAACATTTGACTTCCTTGGTGCTCATATGGTAAAGAATCTTCCTGCAATGCAGGAGACCCGGGTTCAATCCCTGGGTTGGGAAGATCCCCTGGAGGAGGGCATGGCAACCCACTCCAGTATTCTTGCCCGGAGAATCCATGGACAGAAGTGCCTGGTGGGCTACAGTCCGTGGGGTCACAGAGAGTGGGACACAACTGAGCGACTAAGCACAAGCACAGTGCAGGGATGTTATGGAGCCCGGACAGAGCGGAGTCACGCCCAACAGAGAAAAAATGTCAATGAGAATTCTAGTTGCAGAAAAAATATCCTTCAAGAATGAAACAGAAATGAAAGGACATTTAAGAGAATTTGTTACCACATTTGCACTACAAGATACAAAAGGGATACTGAAGGGAAATGACAGCCGGATCCTGGGAAAGAAATGAAGAAAACTCAAAATGATAAACGATTAGTAAATAAAAAATCCCTTTTGGACTTTTACGACCCAAGTTCTTTATAATAAATATATCTGATTAAAGCAAAAAACAGTCTACATTGTTTTGTGGGGTTTATAATGTATGCAGATATAATGCATATAACAAGTTAGCATAAAAGATGACAAGAGATTAATGGACTCATACAATTGAAAGGTGTTCACACTTTATATGAAGTTATACAATGTTAGTTCTAAGTGAAAAGTTCAAGATGTATATTGTAATTCTTACAGAAATAAAAAATAAAACATATATAAGAAGCCAGTGGGGAAAATGATATAAAATCTTAAAATTATTTAGATAATTTAATATAAAGATTAGAAAAGAAAAATAAAGGAGCAAAAAAGCAAAAACAAAGCAAAACAAAAAAACACAGTGGGGATAAAGAGAGAACAAATAATAATATTGTGGGCCAAAACTCAATCACATTCATAATTACATTAAATGTTAATAGACTAAAAACTCCAATTAAAAGCAGAGAAGGTCAGATGGATAAAAAAAGCAAAACCCATGATATGATTTATTAAAATATAAAGGGATGGATAGGTTGAAAGTAAATAAATGGAAAAAAGCATAGCATGAAATAATAAGCTTGAGAAGGAAAAATGTGTTTCTAGCCAGAGAGTATCATGAGTACATTTTTGTTTTTTCTGTTTTGAGATAGACTCTTCTTAATTGTTTACAGCATTAATATATTGATGCTGTAACTCGAGAGTAGTGTAACTCAAAGAGTAGTAACTCAATCAGTAACTCAAGAGTAGTGTAAACATCCATGAGCCCATACTGATTTAAATTAATGATTGAATAAATCAACAAATGAAGGAGAATAGACAAATCTGTACCGAAGAATTTGAAATAATTGATACAGATACTCTGTCCTCAAGGAAAGTGAGCCTAACTTCCTATTACTTAAGTGTCGGCTGTGCGTAGGGACTTCCTGCCAATGCAGACAGCCAAAAAGAATGATTTTACAGTGAAGTAATCTGACTAAATTATATCAGCCAGTTTATCAAGGTCAACATTAACGGTGATAAATCATATTGAAAGTATCATTGATATGATCTGATAAAAATGGCAGTTTACCTCTTTAGTCTTCCTTCCACAAACTTATGACCTCAGTTTAATCAGGAAAGTAACATCAGACAATTTGCCGTAGAGAGACATCTTATACAATACCTGGATGGTAATTTTCAAAATTGTTGAACTTATCAAAAACAAGGAAAGTCTGAAAAACAGTCATAGCCAAGTGGAGCCTAAGGAGACATGACAACTAAAAGTAATGTGGTTTTCCATATACGATCCTGGAATTGAGAAAGTACATTAGGTGAAAACTATGGAAATCTGAATAAACTATGTTGCTGCTCCTGCTGCTAAATCACTTCAGTCGTGTCCAACTCTGTGTGACCCCATAGACGGCAGCCCACCAGGTTTCCCCCGTCCCTGGGATTCTCCAGGCAAGAACACTGGAGTGGGCTGCCATTTCCTTCTCCAATGCATGAAAGTGAAAAGTGAAAGTGAAGATGCTCAGTCGGTTCTGACTCTTAGCGACCCCACAGACTGCAGCCTACCAGGCTCCTCCATCCATGGGATTTTCCAGGCAAGACTACTGGAGTGGGTTGCCATTGCCTTCTCTGGAATAAACTATGAGATCTTAATTAATAATAATGTATCATTTTTGATTCATTAATTATAACAAATGTACCATACTAATGTAGGATGTTAATCATAGGGGAAACTGGGTGAGGAGTATATGAGAACTTTATATTATCCTCTGAAGTTTTCTCTTAATCTAAAGCTGAATATAGTTGACTGGAGATAAAATAACTTGAGCATGTTTCTCTTCATCTCAGGGAGAAGGTGAGTTCTTTGTATAAAGGATAACTGCCTCTTATTAGATGGAAACAGTTGTCTTTTTAGTTGCTTGAATGGTCAAATATATGTAGAAGGATAAATATGGAAGCTGAGTAGAAAAATGGCTGGACGGTGCCAGTTTAATGCCTCATCTTTATCTTCATCATTTAGCGCCTCATCTCCATATCCACCTTCTTTGTCCTGTTTTGTTATGTAAGCATTTCTCCTTTGCCAGCTGAAGCAGTTGTAGAAGGTGTGAAAGTGTTAGTTGCTCAGTCGTGTCTGACGCGTTGCTCCCCTATGGACTGTAGCCCCCAGGCTCTTCTGTCCAAGGGTTCTCTAGGCAAGAGCACTGGAGCGGGTTGCTGTTCCCTTCCCCCGGGGATCTTCCCAACCCAGGGACTGAACTTGAGTCTCCTGCATTGCAGGCAGATTCTTTGCCATCTGAGCCACCGGGGCAGCCCAATGTTACACTTTGTCAATAGAGAGTACTGGAGGGATGCTGCAAGGGCAAGAAAGCACCTCACTTCCATTTTCCAGCTTTCCTTCCTTTTCGCTGAGTACAGGGACCAGTGGATTGGTGTGTGGATGGCCTAGACTCACCTCAGCAGCTCGGACTGACCAGCTCCAGCTTTGCACTCAAGCCCCATCCTGCCCACCTGGCAGCCGGTTTCTCAGCAACTCCAGCTTCATCCCCAGGCAAAAGGCCAGCTCCTGCCTCCCACACCTTCTGGCTCTGCTGGGCCACTTCTGCGTACAAAGCCCCGGTCCATGACTCATGGTAAGTGGCTAGATGAGCTGCCAGTCAGATTCGGCTCATGTTGCCTGAGACCAACTGGTGTTACACAGCCTCCCCTTGTAGATTACATCTTTCCCCTTATTAACTGTTTACTCATTCATATGTTTGTTGACCACTTCCATGGTGCTAAGCAGTGTTCTAGTAAATTTTTGTGTGCAAAAGCAAAACCCAGTGATTTATTCACAAAGATGACAGAGCTACAAACGAATGTGCAGATTTGACAGGTCATTTATGCTAAAGCCAAAGGCAAGAAAAGGAAGGAATGGTACCCTTGGACCTGGGATAAGGGTGTTTCTGTGAAAGTGCTTCTGAAATTTGACCCTTCAGCTTTCCCAGAACATTTCAGGCCAGCTGAGGAGCTCTTTCCTTTTAGAGAAAAACTGCCCTTTGCAAACAAATCATCTGAGGCTGATGCTCCTCAGGTAAATTCTTGTCCTCATCAGGATCTGCTTCTTTTACTGCTCATTATCTCCACATCAGTAGCTAAGATAATTGCATCATGGACTTACCAGGGAAATTCAGTGTTTTCCCTGAGAGAGAAAAACAGACTATTCACTGAAAGACTTGACAGGACCCGGGTAATTTGCACTGGCAATCCAAGGGAAGATGTGTTTGCATGGATTTTGGAGGCTTGTTGGATGGAAGACAGAATAAGAAGGTAGAGTAGAAGAGAAGTGTTATGCGAGTATTCTTCAAATCATGATTTAATATCTTGGCAAAAATACTTAGGAATTACATGTGGTATACTTTATTAGTAAGTTTTAGCATTAGGATTCTGACTTATTTATAAGAATTGGTCAAACATTTAGTCCAGATTTGTGTTGAGAATTTAAGAAGTCCTCCATCTAACAGCCTTGGGCCATAATTAGTCACTGTACCCCGGAATTCACATTGAAATGAATGAAAAGATATTTCAAGAAGAATGAACATATTGGTTATCAACTTTAAAGTCATGTACACTAATAAGATAATCCAAATCTGGTCCCCAAATAAGAGGATAATTATTGCATGCACCTTTGAAATGTATGCAAGGAGCTTTAAGTCTCAATTGAATTGTTCCTTGGCAAGGGATAATGTTGCCTGAGTCCTTGTAGACTTGGGATGGCATGTTTACTTGGCAGAGTTGAAGATGAATGTTTCTGTGATAAGGCACAGTGATTTCCTATAGTCTCTCAGTCTTTGTGTTAGCAAAATGACAATGTCAGTTAAAAAAATATAGTTGGGCTATTTTAAATAACTTTATTTGTAAATTTAACAAGCTCTTATTAGAAATGCTTTGGTATCAATACAATAAAAATACGTTGGTTTCCCCTCCACTGAATCATATCAAGTAACTGGAAAAGTTAAGCATTTGATCTCCCCAGCTTTTTTTGGAATTTTTTCAGATAACGACTACTGCTTATCCACATGGCATAATATGGCTATAATTATAATTTTTTGTATCTTAGGAAAAAGAAACAAAATATCCAGAAGAGAAATCTTCAAATGTTTCTTAGTTTCTTCTTCAATGGATGTTTATGTAGATAGTACACCTCTCAGATAACCTTTTTCCCCAGCTTTGCCATTCTCATCCTTAATGCTGCAAAATAAAGAAAAAATAGAGAGTTATAAAAAGCTTTAATTTTCACTCTAAATGACCATTTCATAGATTGCAGGAAAGTTTGAAACATACCTCAGATGATTTTATCCAACAATGTGAGCATTGTTTTAGTAGCATAAAAAGATAGTAGAAATAATAAGCTATGGTTAACTTAGGGAAGAAGCAGGTTTAGAACTAGAAGGAACCTATTTCTACAAATATTAATAAAGCAAACACAGCATAAATTTAGTAAATACAAGACTAGTGCACATTAACACTACTAGCCATAGATAAATAGCTATGGGTCAACAACTGTGTTTTGTGCGTATTTCTGAGCTATGTACTACTAAAGAGAAAAAGGCATTGATATAAGCCCTAATTCATGATGGCTGGGTTATTTTTTAACTCATCAAATCTAGTTGTTGAAGGGGCTTCATCCTTAGATATAGAATGGCAAGAACAAAATTTTTAAATAATGAAACAATGTGAACTAGTAATTAGGAGTTGGAGTCATTATGAAATGTCTTTGTCCAGATATAAGTACTTTCAAATGGCAAATTTATCTTTTTGAGAATATTTCACTGTTAATGATGTATTAGATATAGAAACCGTTTTAAAAATGTAGATTTAAAATGCATAACACTTGTATCATGCTCTTAATAGTTAAGACCTGATTATAGCTGCCTCAGTCATGTTCCAAAAGTTGAGAGATGCTTTCAAGGCACCAATCATTACACTCATGTGTAATATTGCCCAAGCACCAGCTATTTAGCTGTTTGAAAAATTTTGTTTAATTAAAAAAAAAAGCAAAAAGGAACTCATATTCTCTCATTTCACAGTTATATATTAGTTCTGTATTGAAAAATGAAGAGACCCTACTTCTATGAAGCTTTTTTTCACAAATATGGGGAAGTTTGGGATCCAACACTATAACGATACCATGGTCAATTTTGTTGTCACTATACTTATATGAAATGTTGTCATTTAAATGAAGCCAAAGAGCTTTATTTCCCTGAGAACTTTACGGGAAATGATGATTTTCAGTGGCAGGATCAAGAATATTTCCTTGAATTTAGGACCAGCTGAGATAATTTTCCTTTGCTCTGTAGCCAGGAAGATGGTCCCAATTGCTGGGAGATGTTGGGTGGTGAAATAATGACAGGAGTGTACCTCCACATCAAGAAGCAAACTGAAGGCAGAAGGCAAGTCTTTATAGTTTTAACCGATAGTCTTTGGACCATTACCTTTCCCGTACCAAAATAAGAGCAGGGGCAAAGTCCATTTTAAGGGTCTTTTTGAAGGTCTCTTTTAAGGGAAGGGCAAAGTCTCCTCCCTACAGCTACTCCTCCACTTAGATTCAGTAAAGCAGGCCTACCCAGTTGCTGTAGACCTTCAATGAATTCTTAAAGGATATCCTGGATGTCTGCATCCTCAGGAGTGAGGCAATCCAGTAGCTCATTGTCCCATTTCTTAAGGTAAAAGAAAAGAATTCTAGATTGTGAGAGTCTGTTATTTCTTTCTTTAGGCTTATGGCAGGTAGATGGTGTGAGTTCCAAGTAGCTATGTGGGGATAGGCAATGAGAAAGCCCCTTGGTATAGTAGCTAAAAAACCCGAGTTATCACCTCTCTTTTTACTTTTCCTTTCTAGTCTTCTCCGATCTCTGTGTCCTCTCCCTGTGGCAATCCAGACACAGTCTGACTGTTTTTCACTTGACAGAAGAGAGCTTGCTTCCTTACTTTCAGTGTCCCTTGGGCTCTAATCGTTGCCGCGGGTTGGCAATTCCTGCACCAATAGCTTGTGAATCCCCTGGAGCTGAGGTTCCCTACCGATTTATTCTGAAACGCCACTGACATCTGTAAGAGGGGAGGACGGAGCTAGAAGTATAAGCGTAGGTAGGTGGGGATTACCAACAGGAGCCACTTGTTCAGTTGGTGGGGAGAGTAGTAAAGTCCCAGTGAGACGTTACAGGGCCACTCATTGGTGGATGTATCTGGCATTGAACCAGATATTTTGAACATGACCCTGTTATACTTACTTTAGCAAATGGACATAACTTTGCCTAAATTTTCTTGTCATGTCTCATCCTGTTCAAAGTTTTAACTAAATCTGGTCTTTAGGATCCCCAGGCTCCACTTTTCTCCATCTTTCTTTCTCCTTCATGCTCTTTTCCAAGCATTAAAAATTGCTCTTAGATAAGACTTTGATAATAACATTTGCACAAATGAAAAGAGACTTACAGTTCTTAACTATTACTGTGCCTACTAGGAATGTTATATTTAGTAGGGCACCTATACCATAAATAAAGGAATTGACTTAAATGGTGGATTCCCAAGTATCAATATGCATTTTGGCGGAAGGTGGACAGAGAGAAGCTTAACTTACTTGGTGCTTGTGAAATTAAAATGCATGGGTGGCTATAAATTCTATGTATATGGATGACCCTGAGGTCAATATGATATACTTATTTTTAACACCCATTTAAAAATATCAGTTCTGTAATCCACATGCTGAATTGGAAAACAAGAATGTAAAACAGTATTATGATAGAAAGCAAGGAATCTGGAGGATTCTGTTTATAAGATGCTTTGATTGATACAACATAACTTTGTATTGTTACTTTGTCTGGAAAAGTCTTCCTGTTTTCATTATTTTAGCTCAGTGGCATGATTAGTGTTGTCTGGAAACATTAGTCACTTCCTATATTTTTCTCTGTGGTAAATGTGTTGACACAGTAGGGGAGAAGGAATAAGGGTGTTCAGAAGGAGTTGGCTAGCATCCAAGTTAAAAAATAGGAGGTTTTATAGTGGGTAATGTCACTGCTCTTGACCATAAAGAGTGTGTTCCTCTTTTCTAAGTCTTCTGTGTTGTTCTTTAAAAAATGGATTTAAGATGCAAAATGTGGTCAGTAAACAAAGCTCATTCTCAAAACAGAGGAACTTTTAGTTTTAGTAGGTTTCTTTTGTGGGGACACATCATTAAACTCTGATTTAGGTAGATAATGTAAGTGTACACTTACCAATAGGTTAGAAATTCTTCAGATAATAAAATTTACAATTGGTATGCCTAATTTAACTACTTAATAAAAAGGGAAGAGGTCCATTTTATTGTATCATTGGCAATCTAAGACTAGGTTGCTGGGTTACAGAGGAAAAATCCTTCCTGAATTGTCCTACCGACTAGTTTCTACCACAGTTCTACAAGATTATCAGGTTCTTTGATTGCTAGATAGGCTGGGATTTAATAGTTACTGCTTTTTAATGAGAATTCTCTCATTAGAACATTTAAAATTACTATCCCTTTCACAGATCCAGTACGTATGTCTGGATAATTTGATTTATGTCTTTAGGCATGGTAAGTTCAGCTATTATAATTAGTTTGATCATATTTTTATTTATTGTTCATAAATAAGTAGAATACAATATTCAAGTGATAAAGAATCTAAAATTGATGAGCTATCACTTTTGTAGAAAAAGTATTATTTTCTATTCAATACTAAAAAAGCTAGATAGCTATAAAACTTTACAGAGAATGAGAATGTATGGAATGCAAATATTTAGAAAATAAAAAAATAAAATTTCTAAGTTAGGGAAGATTATGTGACATAAATATTATAATGTAGAATAAACTGATACCTTTTGTAAAATGTAGAAAATGAAGGACAGAAAGTTAATAAAAATATAAAAGTGTAGAGAAACAAGATATAGCAAAGTAATAAAATATCACACTAAAAATAAAATTTGTTTTGTGTTTTTTTCTTGCAAAATTAAGGCAATTTGTTAACTTAAGTAGGAAATCTAAACCACGAAGAGGCACAAAAAAAGGGCTGGCTTCATTTCTTCTGGGAAAAGATCTAATATTGATGACAACATGATTGTGATTCAAACACATTCATACACAGTACCATACCATGGCAGAAGACGAATTTCAAGTTACTAAGGTCAATCAATGCAATACCCAAATAAGGCAACAAATTTTGGTTTCACTTTCTTTCTCTTTTGAAGTGACTTAATGCTTATGATGATAATAACTCATATCAGCATTAATAAAAAAAAATCTTAGCATGTGTTAGTCTATGAAGCGTCAGAAAAAGCTGAGAGCAAGAAGGCTTGGTAACAACACAAAAAGAAGATTGTCACATGACTAAGCAGCAGTGACAAGCCTTGTCATGTTTGTTACCTGTTAAGGAGGGATCCTCAGTCCCATCTCCTGCTATCTGACCGTCCAGTGGAGAATGATGGATGGGGCTCCCTAAGCTTTCTTCTTGTTCCTTCAGGGATATGGAGTTTTTATGGGGAGATTTATGGTTTGTGTTTTCATGGGGATTGACTTCTGGTCTCTTTCTCGGGAGCGGTGTTGGCTTGGCGGGCTGGAAAACCTGACTGTGGGGAGCTATGGGATGGTAGGCTGGTTTCTCAGCTTCTATTTCACCCTCCTCCTCGTCATCAATCACAACCAGCTCAGCATGGATGATCCCATCATACCCAGTCAGAAGCTTCTTTTCTTCCTCATTGTCTTCTGCCTGCTGATACCCCATGAAAATCATCGTCACAGGCTCTTTCTCATCCAGGTCAGAAGGCAGGGAATGAACAATATTATATCTAATGTCTTTCTCATCCTCCTGGCAAGGGGGTGAAGAACTCTGGCATTCTGACTTCTCAACTAGAGCTCTGCTGGGACTCAGTCCTGCCTTCGGAGAGGGAGTATACTTGTCCTGCATTACATTTGGTTCTTCCCAAGGAGTCATCAGCCTCTTTTGTTGTTTGTGGGGCATCTCCTCTGCTTGTTGAGTCATTGCTCGGGGATACGGTATTGGCCGAACTGGGCTGATGTGATTGACAGTGTTACCTCTCTCCTCTGCGAGTCCATTGTCCATGCTGTGTATGGATCCATTCACATCACTGCCCAGTCCATTAGCTTTAATTTTTATCCTTTCTTGAAAGGTTGGTCCAGGAGTTACCTTCTCTCTCTGTGGAGTTGTAGGTCTGCAAAATGGATTGGCATATACAGGTTCATGGTACTCTGTTGGGGATTTAGAATTTCTCTCTGAAGCCTGTCTTAAAAGTTCCTCCACTTCAACTGGTGCCAGGCCGTCGGTGCCATTGTATGCTGCACTGTGATTAGAGCTTACTGCATAGACTGACTTTTGTCCGTCATCATAAACTTTTATCCCTGTACCTTTAAAGTCATCTGATGGGAGAGGTATTGAAGACAGGACAGTACTTTCTCCGGTCTTCAAGTCTTTTTCAACTTTGATTTCCATGGCATACAAAGCTGTTGAGAGACAAATTTGATCTCTGATTTAGTCAATTTTTCCTGTTGCAAAGTAACTTGCTTTCACAGTGTTTATGTCCAGTATACCTGTTGACATTCTTTTATGAGAAGTCTTTTTAAAATTTCTGATTTATTTGTTAAATATATAAAGACTAAAACTTTAATGACATGGGTTTTTATGCAAGGATGTGTGAAATTACTAAAAAAATGGGAAAGACTGAAGAAGGGAAGCTGATTGTTCCAAATGGTAAGGATTTTCACTAGGAAACCAAAAAATGTCCCTTTTCTAATGAGAAAATCTGACACAACAGATTTACAGTCTTTTATATTGCTCAGTAGGAAAGATCAGAGTTTTCTTTTTAATAAGGAAGAATATGTTACTCTGTGCATTACTGTTGGTAAAGGCTGAGCAGGGTATATTTTATTATGCTACCTCCTTGATATACAGCCTTGCAATGTGTTGAAATTAGAGAGGCGTGTTCTAAAGTTTTCATAGCTGGGAGGCGGTTAAATGTTGAACTGGTATTGAAGAGGCAGGAAGAAGGCTAGAATCACATGCTTCTCATTTTGCCTTGTTTCTTTTCATTTTGACTCCCACTTGTAAGAAGAAGGGCTAAAACTAGAGCCGGATCAGCTGTATTAAAAAAAACTGAACTGAGGGGACTGGTTGATTTGGGGGAAGCTGAAATCTGTTTCACGGCCCTGGCAAGATCTTGATACATGTATGCATGCTCAGTCGCTCACTCGTGCTGACTTTCAGTGATCCCATGGACTGTCGCCCACCAGGCTCCTTTTCCATGGGATTATCCAGGCAAGAATACTAGAGTGGGTTGCCATTTCCTCCTCCGGGGAAGATCCTAATGCCCAGGATTGTAACTGGCAGAGTAAAGCTAATGGGGTCCTGGGCCACATTACAATGGGGCACTGCCTGTTTCTGTGTCCCCATCTTCCTCTTTGGAGACGTCTTGCGTGTCATCTCTCCCCGACAGCCCGGTGGTTCTTGGCCTTCCCTGGCTACCCAACTAACATTGTAATACACTCACCCACATGTGCCCTTCCCACCTTCTCTGCATTATTCTTCTCTTTAGCATTTTTGCTTCCTAATATATTTCATTTATTTACCTAATTTTTAATCTATTGTCTCCCTTAGAATGTCAGCTTTTATTCTCCCTTAGAACGAGGGCAGAGATTTTTGCTGTTTTATTCACTACTGTATTCCTAGTGTGAAAACTGAGCTTGGCATTGAGCTTGGCACTGAGTATTTGTTGAATGAATGAATGGTTGCTCCCTGAAGGTAAAGTGTAGCTTCTCTTTTCACTCTAAAATTCAAAGGTTCTATATCTGCCCCTATACAAGCCTTCATTTCCCCTGGGCCATTGACATTAGTTTCATGAAACCATTCTCACATAGGGGCAAATAATGCCTGACCTCAGGGGGAATACTTTTGTTCATTCATTTCATCTTATTCTAGTGTCTACTACACAGAATATGTTGGGAGAGATGTTTTTGAGCAAGGGAGCTTTGTTTTAAGAGCTTCTTGTCTCCTTTAGGTCTTTATCTTCCCTGTCTTTACCTAGTTTGCTGAGGAATAAAATGCATGGAAGAAATACTGTAACCCCATTGTTGCTACTTATGCAAGTGACTTACCTCACGGAACTTTGTAAAATGGACCATTACTTAACCTGGAAGGATAGGATGTTACAGCAAGTTGCCAGTATTTGATATTGTAAAATATGAATTTGAGAACCTACCATTGAAGACAAAGTTTTCATATACCTTTTCTATGTTGTTCATCATCTTCTATTCCTTCATTTCTTTCCTTCCTTAACCTGGAAGGTATGTAGGATTTTGGAAGGTCAGGGATATTAGCATAGATGTCTTCAACTGACTCTGTAAAATTCATATTAATTCAAAATACATTTAGAATATACTTACAATAGAGAAAAATTTCAGCAGGCTAATCAAAAAATATCTTAGTTCGACATAACATAGACTGCTCAAAACATACCTCCTGATGTTTCTTCCTTTTCCACCTTCACAGACTATAAGAAAAAAGAATTCTCCATGATTAATACAGTTTAAAAATAGACTCTAAATGTGAATATACATTGAAGAATTATATACTATTTGTGGAATCATTTTGGGAGGGAGTCATAATTTTCAAATCAGCTAATGCTCACCCTTATTATGTCTTCTGTTGTCCTCTCAACTGATTTCAGTTTCTTTAAAATTGCTTCTTCATTGGTTGAGATTTGCAGTTCAGCCTTTTCAAGATCTTGGATCTCCTTCTCAAGTCTGAACAAAGATATACTTTATATTGTTTAAAACAATACAAATACGGAGCCCTCAAGGATATATTTCCCATATACCAACTTTACTTGGAATACTGCATGTAAGTATCCAGATACCATGTAAGATGCTGAAGCTGAAACTCCAATACTTTGACTACCTCATGTGAAGAGTTGACTCATTGGAAAAGACCCTGATGCTGGGAGGGATTGGGGGCAGGAGGAGAAGGGGACAACAGAGGATGAGATGGCTGGATAGCATCACCGACTCGATGGACATGAGTTTGAGTAAACTCTGGGAGTTGGTGATGGACAGGGAGGCCTGGCGTGCTGCGATTCATGGGGTCGCAAAGAGTCGGACACGACTGAGCGACTGAACTGAACTGAACCATATAAGAACTTAGCATTACACCAAACATCACGTTAAGTACATAGAAGATACCCAATACCTGACTTTGACTTACTTTTCAAGTTGTTTGTTTTTGACAAGGGGGATTCTCAGGTAAAATATTTGACCCTTGGTCCCATTTTCTTCATTACAACTACTAATGTTACTTCCAAATGAAATTGAGAGATTTCTTTTACAAAGAGACATAAGTTTAAAGATGGACCAGAAGGAATGGCCCATCTGTCATTAATACTGTAGATTGCCAGTTTTTCTTACTCAAGTTTTCATAGAAATTACTTGGAGAAACATTGTAATTTTATTTTCTAGCCAAGCAACACTTTATAACATTATAATTATTATATTTGATTTAAAAAATCACAATTACTTAACACTTAAAACCCCTGCATATCCTAACACTGAAAATGACACTTCATTTTCATTTTAGTTTTCTAAAAGTTGCTATATTATAGTGAGTAGTGTTCTCAAAAACAGAGAGTGAAGAGGTGAGAAAGGGACAAAATCTAGTACAGGAGCCTCAGTTGATGTTGTTTATAGAGGCTGTGTTTCCTAGATTAAAAAAAGTTATCACATAGCCTAACAAAGCGTAAGGGAACTCATAGGGACAGAAACAGACATTTGAAATTGAAATTGGGTTGTCACATCCTGAGCTGGTATTTGACTAGTTTAGAGCTGCATGTCAGATTCAAGTTAATTCCAGGGTGTGGCATCATGACCTCTATCCTGGATAAAAGCACACTACCACTGGTGTTCACAAAGTTAGAAAAGTTGGCCCTTGGCATCCATGAAACACACATAATTTCTCAAGCAAGTACTCTGAGCTGTAAAATCAGCTGCCTCAAAGGATGGCTGCTTAGATAATGCAGCTTCAGGAGATGACAGCTGTGGATATTAGCGTCAGCTAAGATAATTGTCAGTTTTCTTGACTTCTTTCTTTAAGGTGATCATGCATCTGGCAGCTCAAAATCCCTGTGCTTCTGTCACACCAATAAAAGTCCAAGATATGGTCAAGCAGATCATTCTCCTACTTATTGCTTTCATTTCAAAGTTCTGACTTGCCTGCTGCCTATAACTGTTGGTAGTTGGCTGTTTATAGCTGAGGTGCTCTTGCACATCATAAAACTCCAGGTAAAATGCAGTACTTCTGGTTTCTTAGAAGTTAGTAACATGTGATGTCAACCTCTTAAAATCCCTCCATATCCACAGTAGTATAGTCGCCCTTCGGTAGAGTTGTGGGGATACATGTTGGTTGGTAGAATGGAAAGTTGAATATTAAAAGTAATAGATCTGGACTGTTCTGTTTCTGCTACTTACTACTTGTAAAAACCAATTCTTTAAACTTTCCTGAAACTCAGTTTTGTAATATGTACAATAAGGATATAGTATACACCTTACTTGATGCAGAAACTTGGTAAAGCTAAGAAGAGGTGATGTCTTTGAAAGCACATTAAACATAGTTGAGGGACTTCCCTGATGGTCCAGGGGCTAAGACTCTGTGCTCCAGTCTGGGGTTCAATTCCTTGTCAGGGAATTAGATCTTGCATGCCACAACTAAGGATGTTGCATGCCATAACAAAGATGGAACATCCCGCATATTTCAGTGAAGACCCACAGGCAAATAAATATTTAAAAGTAAATATAACTGATATCAGATGTAAATGTTATTTTGGTGTAATTATCAAAGATTTTCTGCAATGCAACATGTCTCTCTTCGGTTGTCTTGATCTGCAGGTTCCTTTACCTGATAGCATGTTAGCGATGATCTAACGGGGAGCCTTTGAGTAGAAAATAAGAAGGCTCAAGTCATTGCTGCATAAAGCTCTCAGGATCCAGCTGTGGAATCAGGTGGACCTGGGCTTGAATTCTGGTTCATCTGTCAAGTTCCTGGGTGACCCTGGACAAGTCACCAGACCCCACTAAGGCTCACTGTTTCATTCATTTAAAAATGTTTGTTTAGCATTTACTTTGTCCCAGGCACTATCCTGCATGCTGAGATGTAACGGTCAACACAGCAGTTCCTGCCCTCAAGGACTTTACATTCTAGTGGATGGTATACTAATACAGGAGCTGGCAATCTCTTGCTATAAAGGCCAGATAGTAAATACATTAGGTTTTGCAGGCCACATATGGTTTACGTTGCTTATTCATCTTTATTTTTTTAACTTTTACAATATTTCTAATAGTGTAAGAACCATTTCTAGCTCATGGCTATACAAAAAGTTGGTCATGGCTAAACTTGCCAACTCATTAAAATGTATATATGTATGGCCCAGGATCAAATCTAGCCCTGAACTTTACACATACACACACACACACACACGCACATATACACACCTCATATATTTACTTATAAATACACAGATACACAAATATATATACATAATAAACAAATATGTATGTATACATACATACATTTACTTATAAAGAAAAATATTTCCTTGAAAAAAGAATCTAAGGGTTATAAACAGAAGAATATAGGAGATGGAGGGTGCTTAGGAAGGGTGTTCTATTTTACGCAGTGTGGTGATGGAGAATCTCTGACAAGGTGTCATTTGAGCAGAGACATAAAGGAAATGAGGGAGAGACACACAGGAGTGTTAAGGGGAGTGTACTTCACAGAGAGAAAGAGTAACTTCAAAACTTGAAATAATAGCTGAGGGATTAAGGAAGCAAGTGATGAGAAATGAAGTCAGAGATGGGGTGGCCGCCAGATCATACAGGGCCTTCTGCGTGGTAATGCCTTTGGAAATTCTGAGAAGAGGAAAAACCCTCCAGGACTTGAAATTTAAACAATTGCATTGGCTGCTGTGTGGAGAATAAACTGGAGCAAACAAACACAGAGATCTCAGTTGTTGTAATAATTCAGATAAAGATGGCTTAATTCAGGGTCCTTGCTGGTTGACGAGTGAGAAGTAATTGGATTCTGGAAATATTTCAAAGAAAGAACTGCCAGGATATGTTGATAGATTGCATGTGAGATGCGAAAAAAGAGAAATGTCCAGAGTGATTTGAATGTTTGTGATCTGAACAATTGGAAAACTGTGAATGCAAATGGCCAAATAGTAATCTGGGAATGAGAAGAAAGGAGATTGATGGGGGGGTGTGTTAAATTTGAGACAGTCAAATGGTGACATGGAGAAGACAGATATAAAAGTTGGGAGCTTAACTAAGCCTGGGTTTGAAGATATAAATTTAGGAGTGGGTATTTATAGCCATAGGAATGGATAAAATTTTCTAGAAAGTCAGGGATTCCAAGGGCTGAATCCTGGGGCAATTAAACATTTAGCCATCTGGGCAATGTTAAGTACTTCATATGGTTTGTGTGTATGTGTGTTAGTCACTCAGTCGTGTCCGACTCTTTGTGACCCCAGTGACTATAGCCTACCAGACTCTTCTGTCCATGGGATTCTCTGGGCAAGAATATTAGAGTGGGTTGCCATGTCCTTTTCCAGGGGATTTTCCCAACCCAGGGATTGAACCTGGGTCTCCTGCATTGCAGGCAGATTTGTAGGGTTTAATAAGGAATAAAAGAAATAGTGAACACTTGGCTAATGCTAGTTTTCTCCTGTCTCTGATCCTTTCTATTCCTGGGGCACAGAGATAGAGCTCTTGGTCCGCCTGAGCAGCTACATCTCAGGGAAGTATGAAATGCACTGGTATTTATAGTTGCTTTCCTCTGTAAAGAGGCCCATGGATAATGCGATGTCGGGTAGTACTCATGAATATCTTTAGATTAATATGGTAAGAATATGAGGTTGAAAGCCTGTCAGCGTCATCAGAATAACTGCTAATGAATGTTTCTGGAGGTTTTCAAGTCTTTGGTAAAAACTGCATTAATATGAGGCTGCTGTCAAATGACACATCATAAGGCATGCGTGAAAACAAAATAGATGCAAACACACACACCTTTCTCTCCTTTATCACTTAGTTGCAACCAATTTTATGTAAAATAGGATAATAAGGAAGCATCTTGGTGTTAATTACTTGGAATTGCAAAATTCTGTAGCAGATGCTTACTTTTACAGAAAATTTCTTAAAATTCTCACTCTAATATTTTATTTTTATATGTTGATGTGATATTTCTGTATATTATTTGTGGACAACGTAAATATAATTAAGGGATAAATGTTATAGTTTTTTTTTTTTTTTTCTTTTGAAAAATCTTTCTAAGAGATTAGGATGTCAGTGGGAGTAATGGGAGGCCCAGGGTAGGGAATGGGCTTGTCCTCCGTGGTTCTCCTCACAAGATCAGAGCTGGGTGGGGGGGGGGGGGCAGGTGCTGCGGTAGCCCAACAGTAGAAGAGGATGTCTCACAAGCTCCGTATCAGAAAATGGATCAAGCTTTTGAGGAATAAGGATTCTTAAGGAATATACAAATTACAACTGGCAGGTAGGTGCTATTTTGTATAGCTAGTACAGCGGGTCTCAACTGAGGGCCATTTCTTGGCCTTTCCCTGAGGTCATTTGGTGATGTCTGGAGACACTGTTGGTTCTCACAGCTTGAGAAGTGCTTCTGGCATCTGGTGGGTAGAGGCTGGGGATGCTGCTGAACATCCTGTAATGCAGGGCACAGACCCCCACAAGGACCTATCTCACTCAAA